TATATATATATATATAATGATCTGTGAATACATTCGATTATTTTTGAAATGAATGAAAAGCATTTGTGAATATCTTTCTAATATTTACAAATTTTCTATTTGTGAAGTTAAAAAACATTTGTGGATCTCGATTCTACACTTGTGAATTTCAATTTTACGCACATTGAGTTTTGAAAAAAACTTTCCACCACTCTGAACCAAAATGCACTTGTATGACAAGAGACATTTGAGAAATGTACTATACTATGACATTTTATACCTCAATATACTATGACTTTTTATGCCTTACAAACTTTGAAGATTTTATGCCTCACTATACTATGACTTTTATATCCTTAACATACTATGACGTTTTTTGACATTTTTATGCCTAACTATATTATGACATTTTCATGACATTTTATGCCTTACTATACTATGAGCTTTTAAAGACAATTTTGTGCCATATTATACTGTGACGCTTTTGGAAATTTATATGTCGTAATATACTATGACAGTTTTATGCTTAATTATCATATGATGATTTATGACGTTTTGTGACTTAATATACTATGATGTTTTTATGACATTTTATGCCCTTCTATACTCTGATGTTTTTATGACATTTTATGCCTCACTATACTATGACGTTTTTTTACCTTACTATACTATGACGTTTTTTTACCTTATTATACTATGACTTTTTTATGACATTTTATGCCTCACTATACTATGACGTTTTTTTGCCTTACTATACTATGACGTTTTTTTACCTTATTATACTATGACGTTTTTATGATATTTTATGCCTTACTATGATGTTTCTATGACTTTTAATGCCTTACTATATTATGACATTTTTATGAAATTTTATGCCTTACTATACTATGACTTTTTATGTCTTATTATGACTTACTATGCTATTATGTTTTTTGATGTTTTTATGCCTTACTATACTATGACTTTTTTGACGTTTTCATGCCTTACTATACTATGACGTTTTTATGTCTTTTTATGCCTTACTATACTATGATGTTTTCATGCCTTAGTATACTATGACGTTTTTGACGTTTTTATGACATTTTATGCCTTACTATATTATGACTGTTTATGCCTTACTATACTATGACGTTTTTGATCTTTTTTTGCCTTACTATACTATGATGTTTTTATGACATTTTATGCATTACTATACTATGGTGTTTTTATGACATTTTATGCCTTACTATACTATGACTTTTTTGACGTTTTCATGCCTTACTATACTATAACGTTTTTATGTCTTTTTATGCCTTACTATATTATGACTTTTTATGCCTTACTATACTATGACGTTGTTATGACATTTTATGCCTTACTATACTATGGTGTTTTTATGACATTTTATGCCTTACTATATTATGACTTTTT